ATTTAAAAAACTAAACAGCCTACAGTATTTTTACAGTCTTTATATTACAGTTAAAATAAATGTTTATCAAATAAAGTTTAATGTTACAACTAATCGTGGAACCCTTTAAGAAAACACTAAAAATAATAAGCAGACTGCTTTCACCTGTTCCTGATGAAATCATTGGCTGTGGCCAACAGGTAGTTCTCCACATTGAGACCAGTCAGATTATAGACAGTCTGTGATGAGGGGATCTTCTTATGTGGGGGCTGGTAGTTATTCTTCTCACAAATCTGCAGTGCACAGAAGACACAAACGTATTCTGCAAGGCCCTTTTGAAACGTTCAAGAAGGCGAGGCATGGGAGGGGGAAGACAAGCGAGGACACAAAAACCCACTCACACACATGCCGTTACAGCTGACCCAGCCTCACCTGTTCCTTTCGGGTGCATTTACAGACACTAAATGGTTCGGAGATGTTTCCTCTGGAGATCCACTTGTTTGTGCTTCTTGTGCAGACCCTTTAGGAGGAGAAAATAAATCATTCACAAAGTGGAAGGCAAGGCTCGGCGACTGTTTGTGATGTGCCAAAAGCCTGCCTCTTGTCGAACTCACAAACAGATGAAATACAATGTAGATAATACTGCGGGAAATTAATGCAAACAACTTGTGCATTTGCAGCAGCAGAGAGAGTAAAATAAATACGACTTGCGATGGATCATAAAGTAGCTTTGAGATTGTGTGGGTTTTTTTTTTTTTTTGTGAAACCAGGAGCTAAATATACTCTGATCACAGTTTTCCAAGCTGTTAAGTTTGTGTTGTAATGTCATATTGTGTGAAACTTGTGTTTGTGTGGGCTGACGCTCAGCTCCCACACAGTTTGCTTTTCACCAAGTGGTTTGAGGGGCACATACGATATATGCAAAGCAAACATAAAATGCAAAGATCCATGCCCACACATTGGCAAAGTTATAAAATCTGATAAAAAATACTATAAAATATTTCAAAATATACAGAAAGATAACATAAAATGTCAAAAATCTATAAGCAAACATGCAATTTTTATATAATCACCCACTGCTAAAGGCACAGGTATAGTGTTTGTGTTTGAGCCTGTTTATCTGCACAATTAGCAAATTATCTCACTGAATGAATATGATCCATTGTGCAACATATTTGCTTAAAACTAGCTTTTTTTATTGGACAGGGTTTGATGAAATGTTCGAAAAAATTATTTGATGTTATTTGATGTACATCTGGACTACAAAAATTGTCCACCTCACCAAGTTTTAAAATCTTATATCCAGCCAAAAAGCCTTTTTGATCTTGTTTTGAGACTGATTTACTAAACAAGAACTGATTGTGTAAGAATAATAATCTTGTTTTCAGAATGTGTAAGATTATTTGT